AGGCTTACTATAAATCAGCTGTTCCATGGTAACTGTTTCATGTGTCTGCCCCATATTGCAGTAAGTGAAAGCTAAATAAACCAGGACTTCCTCTAACTGAAACAGGGTGAAGTTATTGTGGTTTAGCTTCTGGTTAACACAGGATAGAAGAAGGCATACAATCAGTTACCCCGGAGCAGCTGGTGTGCGGTAAATCATCCCTCCCACTCCCCTGTTTTATTTCTATATAATTTATTGGTTTGTTCATTCCTTCATTTGGAGTTCAGTCCCACAGATTTTGAAAGGAAAATTCTTTGGCATGTCTGTTAAAACAAGACAAATCTTTGAAGCTGCTCAGAAATCTGAAATGTTAGAAACAGCCTCAGAAAGAGGGATTCATGGGCAGAGTCTGGGCTGGCAGTGAAAGATGCCTGATACATGCCATTTATTACATAGCTGTGCCATTTATCGCATGGAGAGCAAGCACCACCTTTTCCCAGAGAAATATCTTCTGTAGGCAACTAGATCTGGTAAGTTATGGGGAATTATGGTACAATTCAGCGAGCTGCTTAAAAGTTATTGCCCAGGCTGTTTGTGCCTGTAAATCCAGCCATGCCTCAAAGGCCACTTTCCCTGAGCTGAAGTCAGCTCCTATGTTGCAGATGGCTGCTAAGAGAAGTAATTTAGCAAATGCATTTAATTTTCGGATAGCTGTCTCCTTGTTTTGGATCTCTTATCTCACATTCATTTCACTTGCTGCCATTTTCATTTCTGAGACATTTAGCATTCAGGAACTAATGAAAGCACTTGCTGCCTTTGCTACAGTATTTTCCCAGATACTAGTGACTGTGAAAAGAATTAAGCTTTTAAACTATAAGAATCTTCCCTGGGATGGTATTTTCCTCATGGTCAGTGCTAAATAGCCTTAGAGAAGATTTTGAATGGAGGGAGATTCTCATGCTAACCAGATATTTCCCATTACTAAAATACATGCTGTCACTCTAAGGGTAAGGTGCCTGTGCTGTATTAAGCTTATTGTTATCAATATAATAGAGGTGTTCATAATAGAGATGCCATCTTTTTATGAAAAGAAGCAGAGATTAGGATCTTCTTTTTGAAAGTGCACTGTGTTTAAGTGAGTGGCTGTTTGCATAGATCTGTCAGCATTCTCATTATAACCCCTTCTTTTCATGGATGTATAACATGGGAGCAAACTTTAATCCAGGCTATACATTTTCAGCTTATAAATACTAGATACACAGTACAAATATACTAGATAAGACTATATCATTGGAGAAAAAGTATGTGATCATGTAGCTAAATATAATATAAGATAACTTGCAGTGCTACAAAATGATGTACGTGGACGTCTGACTGTGACCATTTCCTAGCCTTTGTTTATTTAACTCTGCATCTTTAATATTTTCTATGCATTGCCCTTATATGTGCATACATGTGCATGCTTGCAGTATGCATGAAATATATGTGTGTAGATAGTAAAAGAACAGACAGAGAAATGCTCTTAAACATAAACCAGATAACTATCATTAACACAATAGATAAATATGTCCAGGTCCTTCTGGAAAAAGAAGGTAACCATAGATCCCATTTTAGCAACAGAAGATGGAGGAACAGAGAGATTTGGAGCACACAATCTAAGATCACACTCAGGACTGTGACTAGGCTGGGAATTTTGATCCAAGTGTTTAGTGCCCTCATTTAGCTTCTTAACCACAAGACATGAGCTCATAGGGCCAGGTCCTAGTCCATCTGTTAGCATCTAAGTAAGACTTAGGCACCTGAATCCAATACTTTTTCATCTTATTTCACTCCTTGAAGCCCCATGTCTACTTCTACAGTGTGCCTTCATCTTAGCCATAAGAAAGGGCATAAAAAACAGTGAGGAGAAAGAAGATCCACCTGCCTTTTGTTCTGACAGTTTTTCAGAGACTTAAATAGAGCTGAATTGGCTCTTATTTAAAACCCTAATAGGTGGAAAATAATCTGGCCCATAACATCCGAGAACTTAGGCTTGGCTTAAATGTTTTAAACTGACAGGTAGGGCGCACATTACCTTACATGTCCTGAATTTTAATTTCCTGTTAGAAGTGAAAAGTTTGGAGAAGTTTCTGGGGATTCCCATCTCGGTCCA